TAATTACAAAATGCTTTTTAACGCAGCATAGTGAAGATAGGTTTTAAATATCAGGAGAGTATGGAATCGCAGAGGTATCAGTGCATTTTTAATGGGATAAATTTAAAAAAATGGTAGAAAAAATTCGCACAGTAGTCCAAAATTAAAAAATTGTGGCAAAATTCGCACAGTGGAACAAATATTAAAAATTGTGGCAAAAATTATTAAAATTAAACATTTTTTTTTATTTCAACAATTTTCAAAATTTGCAAAATGTTTAAAATTACAAGTTTAATTTTTTTTTAACTTAACAAAAATGGCAAATTGCACACGAGTTTTTGACATACGTGATCTGTAATTTTTGACATTCGTCATCTGTCATTTAATAATTGCAATCTGCCATTTTAACATTTGCCATGTTTGACCTGTGTTGCTTTGACATTTTTTAAATCCGTCACTTTTGGTCATTAAAAATTTGCAAACTCATTATTTGACATCTGTCACTTTTGACATTTGCCATCTTTTATTTTTGACATTTGCCACCTGTCACTTTTGAAATTTGCCATTTTTGACATATGTCAATTTTGACATTTAAAAAATTTAGGGAAAAATTCGCAAAATAAAAATCCAAAATGTCAAAAATTTTAATTTTTTAACTTTTCAAAATGGAGGGTAAATTTAGTTCTATCGTATTATTATCGTAAATTTAGTTCTATCGTATTATTTCGGTCTCGGGAATATTACACCTAGTATATAAAAAAAGGTGGGACAAATTTGAAAAAAAAATTTAATTTCAACAATTTTCAAATTTCGAAAATCCAAAACTTTCAAAATTTCAAACTACCCTAGGGACATCTGAAAAATCCCAACATGGTCCTTATAGTTGTTTTTTATGTTTAGGTTTGTTTTTTAGCAAATGTAAAAAATGACAGATGGCAAATGGTGGGAGTGACAGATGTCAAAAATAACAAAAGTCAAAAATACTGTAAAAATGTAAAAATAAAAGACATGAAAAAAATGGGGGATGTCAAAAGTGACAAATGTAAAACGTGACAGATGTCAAAAGTGACAGATGTCAAAAGTGACAGATGTCAAAAGTGACAGATGTCAAAATGACAGATGTCAAAATGACAGATGTCAAAATGACAGATGTCAAAATGACAGATATCAAAAATGACCTATATAAAATGATGGCAAACCTTAAAATTACAAGGTTCCAAGTGCAGCTGAACGGTAAGTGAAAATGACTTATCTACAATATTAAAAATAATGCAGATAAGGCAAAAATGTCAAATTCCTAATGTCAAAAATGACAGATTGCAAATGTCAAAAATGACTGGAAAAAAATGTCAAAAATGACGGATGGAAAATGTCAACAGTGACAAATGTCAAAAATAACAAAAGTAATAAATGACAGATGGAAAATCTTAAAAATAAAAAAATGCCATGTTAAAAGTGACAAATGACAAATGTCAAAAATGACGGATGGCAAATGTCAAAAGTGAGATGTCAAAAAAGACAGGTGGCAAGTTACAAAAATGACACAAGTTTAGGTTTGTGTTTGGGGGTTCTGCTTACTTGTGATAGCAGTCGAGGAGCTTCCTTAGCAAGTAGACGTCGGGCTTGTGCTTCTTGCACAGGGCCTCGGTGACGTTCAGCACCTTGATCGAGTGGTTGTACCAGCCGCCCTCGTTGAAGAAGCTGCCCAAACGCAGCCCGACGTCGACGACGTGGTGCAGATCGGCGCCCCCGCGCGTGTACTTCTCGTAGCTGCCGATCAGGTCCTCGCACACGACTGACCCGTGATCGATGAGGAACTGGAAGCTCTTCAGCAGCTTCGGCCGCTTGTGCTTCACCGCCAGCATGCGCGTGAACACCTCGAGCTCGCTGAACTCCACCGCCAGCAGGCAGAGCCGCTTCTCCGTAAACATCTGAGAACCATTTTTGTTAACTTCCTATTTGTGCTTTTTTTCATACTCGACAAATTTCTATATCTTTTATTTATCATCAATTATCAGTTGTTTAAAGCATTTTTAACGTTTTCATCATTAAATATCCAAGTTTTAGAGGTGGAAACACGCCGTTTCACTTTTTAATCGGATAAGAAAGTTAAATATTAAAACTTTAAAAAATAAATTGGACCGAAAAATTATGGAACGCCGTTTTGCTATTTAACATTCTCTGAAATAAATATTTTATTTCAGTTTTCGGTTTTTATTTTACTTTATATTTTGCAACGACGATATTTATGTCAATTTAAATGCTTGACAATTGAAATATTAAAAACAATACATACCTACTATTTTCTTTAAGTTTATTTAGAAACAATCGCAGAATATATTATATTATATATTATTATCAATAATGTGTACAAAATTATAATTGGTGTGTATTGCAGAAATTAATTTTTGCAATTGTCATGTATTTTAACAATGTATTTTTGCAAATTCAATCGCAGAATATATTATATTATATTTATTATTGCAATACTCATATAGGTATATTGTACAAAATATTTTCTATGCTTTAAAATTTTATTTTTGCAATAGTTTTAAATTTTAAAAACATGCATGTAATTATTATCAATAATGTGTACAAAATTATAATTGGTGTGTATTGCAGAAATTAATTTTTGCAATTGTCATGTATTTTAACAATGTATTTTTGCAAATTGTCGCGTATTGTAAGAATGAATTTTTGCGATTGTCGTATATTAAAATTAAATTATTGCCTGTTGCATTAATTCATTTTAACAATAATTACAATACAGGAGAAGTAAATTATTTAATTCTCGTGTATTGTAAAAATGGTGGTAGAACTGTTGCGTTAAATAAAATCCCTAAAAATTCCCCAACCGATACCTTTAATTAGACAACCTAGATTACACTTGACCCTAGATATTTTTTTTGAATTTAAATTAAATAGAGTCTATTTTTTATTAAATGCATGTACACAAAATAGATTTTCTTTAGAGAGTAAAAAAATAGACTTTACTTAATTTAAATTCATAAGAAATATGTATTGGGCCAGGTGTAATCTGGGTTGTCTACATAGTTAAAGGTATCGGTTGGGGAATTTTTAGGGATTTTATTTAACGCAACAGTTCTACCACCATTTTTACAATACACGAGAATTAAATAATTTAATTATCTTGTATTGCACTTATCGTAAAAATGAATTACAGCATTAGGCAATAATTAAATTTTAATACAAGACAATTGCAAAAATTCATTTCTGCAATACACACCAATTAAAAAAAAGTCCAGCCCATTGTAAGAATTTATTTTTGCAATAAGCGACTGTTACCAAAAAGGTTATGAGTTTATGCGTACACATAAAATTAATTGTAAAATAAAATAATAGGTACCTATATGTTTTTAGTCTCACAATAATTCCATTATAAATTTTAAAGTGAAAAAATAAAGAACCTCATACGAAATAAAAATGGACTAAATTTAAATGACATGGAAAAAATTAATTCAACTAACAAAATAATATGTTAAAGGTTTTCAAAATATTTGTCGGGTAAAATATTTAAATGTTGCGAATCAAATTAATATGTATCAAAAAAAATAAATATTATTATGCCTAGACATAATAATAATTCGCTATTTTTCCTATTAACGATTAAAAAGTAAAATGGCGTGCTATAGAGGTGAATATTTAAGGTGGTATACCTATAGGTATTTCCATTTGAATAGTATGACAAATAAATAATAGAAGGCCCTGACAGCAAATTCAACGCCACCAATGTAGTAAATATAAATAAATAAAACGTTGTACCTATTTTAATTAATTTCCCATATTAAGAACCAAGCCCGTAATACACATTTAAATAAACAATTTAAAAATTATACAATAGGTAGGTAATATTCTACTTCAAATGCCCAACATAATTTAAATTATTTGAAAGTAATACATAATATTCACAAAATTACGAAATATATTATGATCATTGATAAACCTCTTAATTGCTTTTTAATTATTATATTTCAAGGTTTTAAATTTGACCAGACAGTAAACAACAATATGCTTTATTTTTATTCATAAAACATTGCGTTTCCTTTGTACGTCTGATAAATGTATTGATATAGAGTATTTAAAATTATCTTACTTGGCTGTTTATAAACAAATCACGACTTTATTTATACGAAATTTTATTTGATAGGATGGACTTTTATAGATCAAAGATTTAAGTTAGTTAGTCTATTGAACCTGATAAATATTTAATTTGTATTGCATTCAATGTTAATTAACCAATAATTAATACAGACTTTTTCCTAGCTCCATTTGTAAACTTGTATTTGTACTTTTTGGATAAAAAATCACCAAATGAGTTAAGTTATTTTAAGTAAAGGGGCTCCGACTTATTTATACATGTAAATATGTTCTTTAAAACAATATATAGGTATACATAAATACAAGTCGAAAAGGCACTACCAAGGTCAAGTCAAGTCACCTGTGATATTGTTTACTTGAAACAAACAGCCTCTTTGATTGTCACCGAAACATTGACAACATTTGGTGAGAATTTCGGTGCTACTTGAACATATAGTTCGTTATAAACAGGAATGGCGATATGTTACCTTGTAGTAGAAATCAAAGAGGACATTGTTGGGCAAACCTCTGAAATCCTTCTTGTAAAATTTGCACACAGTGACGCAATCGGACACTGCCACCGCGATGCATATGTCGTACAATTGTCGCGGCACGTTCGACATTTTCACACTGAATTTCCTAGAGCTCGACCGTCCGTCACCGAAAACAACGGAATTATCAACAGAACATCAAAACAACCGACACCAACAAACAGCTGAGCACTCCGAATGGTTTCCCTTTTATCTGACTGACGATGACATAGGGAATTTTCGCTTTCTCAAATTTTTCGACAATTTTGACAGATCGAGAACACCACCTATGTAGTTCGGCCACCCCCAAGAAGATGGCGCTGCGAAATCACTGTGTCGCCATCTATTAGCCACTTGTAGAAGTATAAAACTCAACATTTTTGTTCTTTAGGTTGGCAACTCTTGCGAAGCTGTGAAGAAGAAGAAGAAGAAGCCGACATTGTGTGACTACTTTTTCTGCGATTTGTGGATGTTGTTAAATAGCGTTAAAAACAGCCTTTGTAGGAGTATCGACGATTAAAGAGATTGATCTTAATAATTGGTAAGTTTTTGATGGGCTTATCTGGATATTTTACGAGAAATTTACGAAACAAGTCAAATTTGTCAGTGATGCTTATACAATTTTGATGAATTCATTGAAAAGTCACTTTAATAAATAACTTTTCCTGCGAACCGATGCTCAAGAAGTTAAAGAGTATAATTTGTCTAAATATTTTAACAAATCAATAGGTGGCCATTTTTGTGTTGTGCTTGTGGCGGCAAATTTAAAATTTCCAAGGGTAATTTAATAAAATGTAAAGTAGGATTCATAGAAGGTAAGTTGTTGTAAAAAATACCATAACCACCTTCTTAGTGGTTTATGTTGTATTAATAATTAATTTACTTTTCCAGAATAATATTTTTATTGACGAAGATAGTTAACGATCATTTAGTGTTAAGTGATTTTGTGAAATGGAACCAGCTGCCCCTGGTACGGAGGACGAGATTCCCTATACTGCCGGGCTCACAAAGCAGGTACTTATTTGTTCTTTTCTATGTTGTTTCTTTATTATTTATTATGTATTTTAGTAATAAGGTAAGTATCTTTTAAGATCTATATACTCTATGATATTAAGAGTAATTTAATCTTTATTTAAAGGTAATTATAACTGGGTTTTGATAACTTTTTGTTGATTAAATAAGAAGTTATCCAAATGTTAAATATTGTTGTTTATACAATATTTATCATATACTACTGGTGTATCAATTAGTTGATATTAGCCTTACAAAAAAAATTAAAATTTAATTTGCGCTTACAACCATTGAACATTCTATTTGAATGTTCCTGTTTGATTCTTATTGTTTATTAAAGTTGTGTGGTTGTTCTTCACAACTTTTTTTTAACTTAGTGTGTGAGAAAGTGGTCTTAATTAAGTGGTAACTGCTCAAAACTTATTAGTTTTTCAAGTTTGTTTATTTTTGAGAACACTAATAAATTCTTAAAACTAATTGGATTGTTGTGAATAAAACGAAATTTGTTCAATTCTTTTATTTTCCTTGTTTGAGATATTGAGCAAACTTTTACCATTTTATATAATTCGTTGCTTTTAGATTTTCTCTTTAAAAATCTTTATTAAGTTATAAAAACTTCGCAAAATTCGTAACCGGTTTTTCCTGAATTATATGTATAAGATTTTAGTTTATTTATATTATTAGTAAAGCAGGAGAGCTATTCTCTGCATTATTTTAGAAAAAAATCTTTTTAACGCCATCTTCTGGACTATTGAGGTACCAGTATGCTGAAGTATTCAATACCCTTTTATTTTTACGCATAGTGGTTTATATCATACATAATATTTTTATGCATGAAGAAATTTTAAAAATTATCAATAAATTATGTATTTAATTAAGGGACAATAACTTTTGTAGGTACTTCTGTATTATTTGTTTTGGTTTATTTTTGGGGAAATATTGCTTTTTTTTAAGAGCTGCAAGGTCAGTTAAATATCAGAAAAGTTGCGGAATTACAAGCATATTAACTTGAAATTTATATATTGTAAAAAAATCCAGTGGTTCTCAAAAAATTTGAAAAAAACAAAACCTTTGTTATTCCTTTTGTTTCTATAATGGCCGCCATTACTACTTGATCTAATCATGTAAAATTTCAATATGGCGGCAATAGGAAAAACAAATGGTATCTCATAATCCGGTTGGCAAAAAAAATTACAAATTGGATGAAAATGTAGAAATATATGTATGGTTACAAGTGAAACTTACTTTTTTTCAAAATTCTTGGGAATAACGAAGATATAACGATTTTTGGTTTTGACAAGGTTTAAGTTTTTTTCAAATTATTTGCTGATCTTTTTTCTAGTTTTTAAATGCCATTTTAATAGACCTGTAATTACGCAAGTTTTGTTTAATTTAACCGAACTTGTAGCTCTTCAAATAAAAAATATACCTATACATAGAACACACTGTATAGAAAGCCTAGCAAAGTATATAAATCCGGAATATTTTCTTTTAAAGAAAAATGTATTGTTTTAGGTAGGAATAACGAAATAATTTTTTTATGTTTTTCTAATTAATGTTAATATACACTCACAGGCAAAACAATCGATCCACACAAATTTTCGATGAATTTCAATCGCAAATAACTTGTTTATTTGATGTCGGATTTAAACGGATATTAAAGAATATTGTAGATAAATTAATGGACAATCGCTCACATTTTAAAAAATTTCTAAAAAATAGACGTACGTTTATAATATACAGGTTTAAACAAAAAGATATTTTTTACCATAAGTTTAAGACATTCTGTAGAGTGGCAAAACCGTATATTGTTCTAAATTAAGTTTTATTTATCAAGTCACATCTATTCCTAACAGTTTTGTTTTTGGTTCACCTCGATATATTTATTTTTGTGGAAAATATGGATTTAAAAAAAAAAACATTGCAATTTCCAATATTTTTCTGTATGAAGAACTAAGGTTGCTATGGTCCATCCATAGGCTATGGAGAATGACAGTGACAGTTTTGTTGTATCATCCCATACTTTGACATGTCATACACGGCTTTCAAAAGCTATCAAATTGTTTTTTGCAAATTAATGTTTAAATTTTGAGGTGTCTTGTTACTTTAAAAAATGGATATGTCTCTGACTGATGTTGCCAGAGCCATTAATTTAAGGATTAGGATGGACGGTTACAGTATTACGTGGCAAGTGTTTTAAACGTCACAAGAAGTAAGGTACAAAGGGCAACATCAGTCGGAGACATTTTTAAAAGTAAGAAGACACCTCCAAATTAACACATTAAGTTACAAAAAACAATTTGATAGCTTTTGAAAGCTGTATATGACATGTCCAAGTATGGGATGATTTAACAAAACTGTCACTGTCATCCTCCATAGGCTATGGATGGACCATAGCAACCTTAGTTTTCCACAAAAATAAATGTATCGAGGTGATCCAAAAACAAAACTGTTAAGAATAGATGTGACTTGATAAATAAAACTTAATTTAGAACAATATACGGTTTTGCCACTCTACAGAGTGTCTTAAACTTATGGTAAAAAACATATTTTTGTTTAAACCGGTATATTATAGACGTACGTGTAATTTTTAGTAATTTTTAAAATGTGAGCGATTCTCCATTAATGTATCTACAATATTCTTTAATATTTGTTTAAATCCGAAATCAAATAAAAAAGTTATTTGCGATTGAAATTCATCGAAAATTTGTGTGGATCGATTATTTTGCCTGTGAGTGTATTTTAAAACTATAAACCTAGTTTGTACTCCTTTTGGAAGTCGGCGTTTAACAGTATTAAAGGAAAATGATTTTTACATAAACCGATTGCGTTTTGTATGGTAACTAATAGACGACTCTGTTAGGCAAACGAGGAGGAGCGCCTGCTAAATTTGAAAGCCTTCCTGCCCAACGGACAGTATGGCAGGGTTTTCGAGCTCAACTACCTCGAGCTCAAAAACAACGGCACCCAACACTGGTTCTGCAACGCGTGCAAATGCCCGGTCATGGGGCGCGTGTACCAGCACGAGCTGGGCAAGCGGCACTGCATCAACATGGCTCGAGGGCACCAGCGCGAGGGCGACCCGGCCGCCCCCCCGCCCCCCAGCAAGGAGGACCACCACCAGACCATACAGGTCGCTCCCGGCGAGCCCCTCCCCCCCGGCTTCGAGGGCCAAGTCGAGGAGACCACTCTCATACAGGTGGGCGCCGATTTTTACCTAACGCAGTTTTTGGAGATTTTTGCCTAGTTCAGTAGTTTCAGTCTTCAACAAGCAATGTTTTTCTTTGTTTAGGAAAAACTCGACAACTTTCAAGCTGCACCTTTGGTAGCCTTGGAGTATTTACTCGAATTGCAGCACTATGATCCGTCGAAGGAACCGTTTTACTTGTGCGTTCTTTGCGATAAAAAAGGGGATCCCAGAACGGTTCTGACACATCTATCGAGCTACAATCACATACAATCGGTAAATAAATCGCGAGCGAGAACGTTTTGTTTCTAAACCCGTCATTTTTTAGTACTTGCAAAAGCATTTCCCGACGTGCTACAGAAAGTTGGCCCCCTACATGACGAAACAATACAAGCGCGGTTTTCAGAGGGTGCTGGTTAACATAGCCGAAGCTATCGAGCACAAGTTCGGCCGCATGAAACCGGTGCCCATCGAAAAAGATAAGTTCGAAGCTGACGTGTCGCACTACCTGGCGATCATCATGAAAAGTCGGCATTTCACCGAAAAAACCGGCCACACGTTCGAGGAACTGGTGCAGCACGAAGAACTCACGAAAGTCTACTACGAAGGTAGTAATAGGTAGTTCGCGAAATCGTAATTTTACGAGTCTTGTTTTAGCCGAGGTCGCTGCGGACCCTTCGATGGCGCCGGGCGTGGCCTCCATCGCGAAGCCCTTCAAAAAGCGCAGCCCATCGCCTCCGGTGGTGGCGCGGCCCGTGAAAAAAACCAAGCAGCCGCCGCCCAGCAAGTTCCCCAACCCGAAGCAGCAAGAGTACCAACGCAAGGACGACAAAAACGCCGCGGGTTCGAGTTATGCCGCTAACCCCGCGAAAAGGGAACGCAAGCGCTCTCTGTCGAGCGTCTCGAGCATCTCCAGCAACGAAGACATCGGCGAGTGGTCCGGCAAATACGTCAAGAACAAGGATAGGAAGCAACCGCCTCCGAAGAGGAACGACAGCAAGCCGCAGTTCCAGCGGAGAAACGAGCCGCCGCCTCAGAGGGACGGCCCGATGCCGTGGCAGAAGTCGAACTACATCCGCAGCCAGGACAAAATAACGGGCGACAGAGGTCGCGACGTTGTGCGAAACGACAAAGTCGACGAGTTCAAAAAACTCTCGAAGGCCATCGAGAACGACATGGGCAAGTCGCTGCTGCACCACGAGAAGAACCCCGAGAAGCATCCGCAGTACAACGACGAGTGGAAGAAGTTTTGGAACAAACGGTGAGAGAATTTATCAGTACTTCGGGACTTGACGTTTTCTTTTAGGTACAAGGAGCTGCAAGCCGAAGGCAAAGACGCGGCCAACTTCGACTTCAAACCGGAATGGATCCAGTTCTGGAACAAGAGGATGATCGAGTTGCACCAGGAAGAAATTAAGTTAAGAAAGGACGCTTTAAGAAAAAGGTACGTAAATTTTTTCCCCCTAGACCGGGAAATCAGTGTCGCTCCAAACATTTGGGATCTTTTAGTCGTGGTCTACGTCTTGACCAATATTATCCGAGTCCGTATTAATTTGTCAGTTTCTTCTACTGTGTTTTCCAAATCCACTAGAATTCGGTTTGTGTGTCTTTTTGTGTTTGGGTTTTCTAAATTTGTTCGTTTAGATTTTCGAGTGTCAATTGTTTATTTTTGGTTTTGTTACTATTGTTTTACTAATGTTACTGTTGCAAAATTACATATCGTATTTTGCAGAATCTGATGGCCCTTTCCTCTCTTGGTTAGCCTATTTTGTTTGTCTCGCGGAAAGCATCCTATTGACGGGTGGTTAGACCGCCCGGTAAGCTGTCACTTCTCACTTTAACACTTCCTTGATTGTAGGGTGGTCTTTAATTGCTGTATTTGTTGCACTATAGTTTATTTGCGCTGTACGAGTAATTTTTTGTGGGTTTTGGCTTGTATGTTTTAAGCGAGATCTCGATACGATACGGTACGACTTAAGCCTAATTTTCATGTATCCGTTTTTGACGCCCAAGTTATTTTCAAATATTTTTTTTAATTATGATTGTAAAATGGAGTAATTACGTTCGTTATGTGAATAAGATTCTACTGTGTTTATTTAATAAAAGAACGTAAAAAATGAAAAGACAAACAAACAAATATGAAAACTAGAACTAAAAGGACCATCAATCTCCTATAACTCCTAAAAATTAAATATAAATAGGCCAACCTGCGTTTAATTAAGGTAGTTGTCATTCTAAAAAATTTCTTTTTTAAAAAGTAATTTAAAAAATATATAATTTGGTTCTAGTTTATTAAATTATTTTTAAAATGACATATTCTTCAAAAAAAAAATAAAATATCAAATCCATGTAATAGCTCCTAGACTTCTACAAAATTATCATTTTTAGGCATATTTCGTTTGTTTTCGACAAAAATATACCAAACAAAAATTATTTTAATTTTCTTTTAAATGATAGCTAAAATAGTAAACAATGTAAAGAATGTTTTGCTGTTTAATGCAAACTTCATATTTTTTCTATTATGAGATTTTTGAGTATCAAGATTCACATTACAATTGAATAGGTGAGATTAAGAACAGTACAAGTCCAAAAGTTAAAATTTTGAGAAAATATTTCAAAAAATGTTTTATAGTTTTATAGTTCTTAACACATTTTTGTGAGAATATTTTAACTATTTTATAAAATATAATATTCATATTCTGTAATAGTATATTAAAGAAGACGTCATTTTGACGCACGCGGACAATTTATAAAACGAGCGACGAATTAGGAGTTTGGTAATGGACGAGTGCGACAAAAGGTCATATGACATGAGTTCTTTATGCTATTTTATCTATTTTGCAAAAATTCTAAAAAAAAAAATAATTTTATGCCTTAAATTTAATTTGGTCGAATTTTACTTTAGATAGTTGGTATCAGTCATTGGTTTCGCCATTCCGTCCTTAATTTAGTTATTTACAATAAGCGGCTGTTAATGTTAAAGAAGAAAAAAAAATTTATTTGGTGTTAAACAAAATTTATTGCCAGAAAAATCTCGTAAGTACTAGAAAAATCATAAAAATATTATAACCAATACGCAAAATATTATGCTGTTTAAAGTATAGCCAACCTATAAAATCAAAATTTTGGGTGGGATAAAGTATCTCATTAAAGCACCGAAAGCGGTGTTATAATGAAGTCATTATGAACGCAAAATAGATAATAGTTATTTACGATATAAGTGGGATAAGAGCTTTATAAACGTACGCATGCGAAATTTGCCGCAAATCGCAAAAGTACGTTAATAAAGCGTTATCACACGTATATTGTACAAATTTTTATCTACGCCTCTAAATGAAAAAATAAACGGTAATTATTTTTGTCTAAGACTTAATTTAGGGTTATTTTGACTTTTTTATTTGATTGGTTAAAAACAGAGAAAAACGCGTGCGTTAATGAACTTCTTATCTCACTCAAAATGAGTGGGATAAGAAGTTCTTATCTCACTGGCGTAGATAAAATGATTTATATCTTCTCACAAAAACTTTAAAATTGATTGATTTTGACTTGTCAAAATTAAATTTTTTTACTTGTACTCTCACTAATTAATTTATTGTTATTTATTGACTAAACAGTTAAAAATTTTTTTTCTCAAAATATAAATATAACATCATTTGATTTCGGCCTAGTTTTTAGCCAAATCTATCGACGCGTTTTTTTGAATAAAATTAAAAATTTTTTTTTTTAAGTAGGTACAGTGTAGAGTTGTTTTTATGTATTTACAGAAGTTCATTTAAATATTTCTGCTAAAAATCTACAAAAAAACCTAAATTTGTAATTTAGCCGTTTTAATGTATATTGAGGCTAGTATATTCTTTTTATATGGCTTATTTACCTACCTACCTTTTAATTTATTAGACATATAACTTTTAAAGTTACAATTGTTGACATTATTGTAACTATAACAATTAAGCATTAGGTAAATTTGGTGAAGTGAATATACTGGCCCTTAATTTCTATTTGTCGCCAAATCAATCCTCAAACTTCATTAAAAAACGGATGCATTTCTTGTCGGACGATTTTATTGAAAAACGTACAAACGGATGCATGAAAGTCTAGCTTAACTTCGTCAAGTGTTCGAACGTGGCTGAGTACAGTTGACGTATTTATTCATCAGGTTGGGCCTGCCGGAAGAGCCGGCCCCGATATGCTTCCGCATCACCGGGAAAGGTAAGGACGGTTCGAAAGACAGCCCGAAGGACTCCAAACCGATGCCGATGGCCGCAAGGCCCGACAACGAAATGGACGACGAAGTGATCGTCATCGAGGACGACAAGTACGTCAAGCATCGCGACGACAAGTACAACCGTTCGCAGAGTCCGTGGGAGAGCGAACCCGTGCCGAGGTCCTCGATCGACAGGAACTCGCGCGAGCGAAGGCTCCACAAGAACCCGAGCCCCGCACGGTAAGTTTCCGTCGTTGAGTCGTTTTTTTTTTTTTATTCTGAGGGTGAACTTTTCTGTGCGCAGCGATAGGAGACGCGACAGCCCCTACAGCAAGCGATCCAAATCTAGGGATCGTTATTCTCGAACGAGAGACAGGTCCAGGTCCAAGGAGAAGTCCATGGATAAGTCGGAATACAGGGAGAAGGGTTACAGGGAGAGTTCGTACGAGCGCGACGTTCGCGGTAAAGATCGCGTCAGGACGGTGGCCGATTTGCCGTGGGAAAGGGAAAAGTACTACGAGGATTACTACAAACCCCCGCCGGTAATGAGGGACGTGACCAGAAAACCCATGATCCTACCGCCGGCTAGAACCATGGTTCCCCCGGAAGAGGAAGAGGACGACGGGGAGGTCAACATCGTGGGTATTTTGCGACTTTTGACCGCCGTGGAAGAGCGTTTGGGTTCGTTGGGCCCGAAAATTATCGATCTCTTGGCGCAAGCTTTGGCGATGGAAAAGCAGGAGGCGAACAGCTCGGAAAAGTTGCTCGACAGCGATATAAACTGCGTTCTATTCGAGACCGTGAAGGAAAAATTAAAGGGGCAGCTATTGGCCGGGTTGGTGGACCAATACCAAGAGAGGGCGTTCAAGAAGGCCATCAAGAAGACTGCGAGTTTGATACACCTGGCCAGCGAGAGGCAGAAGGATCAGCAGAGCAAGATGTCGACGAAGGTTACTCCGGTCAGCGTTCCGGGGGTGGGTACGGTCGATAAGGCGGCCATAGCGAGACAGATCGCGTCGGCGTTGATCGCGCAGGGAAAAACCGACGTAACGCAAGATCAGCTGGAGCAGTTAATTAACGCTGTGGTCGGTATGGCGGAGGCGTCCAAGAAGGCCGGAAAACCGATCAGCACGCAGAGTTTCTTGGATAAACTGAGCGGCAACTCCGCGGCAACAGAACCAACCGCACCGGCCGTCGAGAAAAAGGAGGTCGCCAGTCTGGACAAGATTACGGAACCGCTGACGCCGAGCCCCAAGTCCAGCAGCCAGCAGAACATGGACCACCTGTCCGATTCGGATCTGCAAACGCTCCTGCAAAACTTCAAGGATTTACAAACGGATGAGCAACACGGGCTCATAAACTACCTGAAAAAGTTGGAATCGCACGAACCGGAACGGGTGGAACGTTTGAGGAAGTTCGTCAATCTCAAGCCGACGGAGGAGGAGAAACCGAAGGCGGGTTTGGACATGAAAGGCCTCGAGGACATCGACGATTTCGAGGACGAGGAGGAGAATAAACCCTCGGGGAGAGAGAGCCCGTTCTCGAACAGACTGGGCGGGCTCAACCCGACCGCGGACGAGAAATCAAAAGAACCGCCCGCGAAAATACAGCTGGACTCCGAAGACGAGGAGTACAGCTTCGAGGACGTTGTGAAGGCCGCGTCGAAAAACGTCAAGGCCAAAGAGCTGGAAAAGGAGCGGCAGATAGTGGAGGAATCGATGAAGAAAACCAAGGACATCGTCGACGCGCAATCGATAATATCGAACTTGATGAGCAACTTCAGCAAAAACAAAACCGCCGCTAATGCGGGCGCCAGCAGCAGCTCCAACAGCGCCAGCACCTCCTCCATGGACTTCTCCGGCAGCTTGAGCGGCATCAACATGGAGAACATCGCCAACATCGTGGGGAACGCGCAGAAGATGCTCCAGGACCAGCAGACGAGCAAGAGAAACGAGGAGATGTTTCAAAGCCAAAGCACCAACAGAAGGGACGAGTTTTTGGAAGACTTCCCGCCGGTTGCGAGCGAAAGCTTCAGCTTCGAACCGCCGAGTCAAGGCACGTCTTCCCCGTCGAAGCCGCACATAATTTCGAACATCGTTTTGAACAGAATCGACCGTTCGAATGCGCCGCAAAGTTTGGGGCCGAGTCGCCCGAGTTTCGAACCCAACAGACCCGATCTCCAGCCCGCGAGGTCTTCGATGAGTTCCAACGGATCTCAGATGAGTATGGGGCCCAGGATGGGCATGCAGCAGGGGCCCAGAATGGTGCTGCCAAGACCTCAGCTGAACAACGGCCCCGGCGGTAATCAGCAGCAGCAGCAGCAGAGAGGGAATTACCCCCCAATGGGTAACAACTCGTACGGAAACAATTTCCAATCAAACAACTACCCATCACAGCAGCAGCAACAACAACAACAAAATGTCGCTTACCCCAACATGAGGGGTAATAATTCAAACTTTGAACAAAGACCCAGATATAACAACCCACGATTTCAAGGAAATCAGTTTAATAGTAGACCCAGTGGCAATTATAATAATAATAATAGTAATAGATGGTAAGTTTCATTTTCCCTGTCATTTTTTTATTTTATATTAATACATTAATTAATAATAAACGTGTATAGCTTTTATTAGTATTTTATTTAAAAAATTGACCCACTATACAAATTCCATCCAAATTCAGAAAATATAAAAAAAATTATTTGCTGTAAAGTTCAACCTTCTTGTGAAAAATCTAGTAATTAATTTTCCTGTCTTTCAAAATAGCATCCATTTGGTTTGAAACACTTTTTCTTCTTTCAATTTGCAAGTTACTGATCATAATAGTCCTGGACAATATATAAATTATAATTATTATTAAGCAAAATACAAAATACCCATTCACCATAGGATTCCAATGATTGGACCACTTTCACGTGTGTTCACATAAAATTTTAATTTCTTTTTTCTACTTCCACCTTTAAAACGACCATTATCGTACATGTTTCCATGACACTAAGTAACCTTTTAAATACACTTTGACAAGTTGTGGCTTAACGGCGTTTTAGTCACGGGATGAAGTTAGCAACAGGTTTTTAGTCACGGGCTGAAGTTAGTTGACAGTTGTCAAATGTCATACAATCGTTAAAATAAAGTGCCTTTCTTGTAAAATAATAGTAAATGTGAAAATTATTTTATTATCTCAATACAAAAATACAAAAGTATTAGTTTCTCAACGCCAATATTTGAAAAGTTTATATGAACATTGTACTGACCTTTTAATTTCGCCGGCAGTAAACTATAACTTAAATTCGGACACGGACTCCACTGTAAAGTGCTCATAAAACATTTTCAAGAAATCCATTTCGATTTATAACCTTTATAATCTGTGTTTACAAAATATAAAAATTTGACATTTGACGTTGACACACAGATTCCCCTATTGTTTCATAGATGGCGCTCTATAAAAATATTTGATTTAAATCATTTTAAGATAATAATAAGTATTTGTCGTAGAAAAAGTATAGTATGCACCTCGTTTATAAACTTTTCTATACACTCATTAATTTAAGAACAAGTGCCTAAATTAAATTCGTTTATAAAATGGCGTTTATCAAACTGGATACATAATATACTATTATATAAATTATTTTCAAAGCGAAGATTATTATCCGCTAGGAATACTTTGTCTCTCCTAGGAGAGACAGCTGGGCTGTAGTCACCTATATTTAACTACTTTTTTTATATGATTTTACTCATCTAGGCACCACCAAAGCCAAATTAATTAATTAAACATAACCACAATTACATTTATAGCCAGTTTAGTTTGTTTTAATCAATGAAACCAATTTTGGTTCCACATTTACCAACCAAACCCCTAAAATTGCAACGTTGCCGCAGTCCAGATAAATAATAAACTTTATCTTATTTTCATTGAAACATATTTTGCTGGATTTTCCAGGTTTCGAGACCGGTATTTTAATTACTTGGTTTGTCTTAATTCTGAGTTCACCAATGGATTAATCTTACCTCATTTACCATTAGTTCATACCTAACTAATTTGAGAGGCACTTGTAAGCAAAGAACACAGGTGTTCTTTGCTTGTAAGCCTCAAATGAGGTCTTAAAGTGCTAAGAACAACCATTTTATTTTTTTGTATAAAATAAACCTTATTTAATTAGGATCGTCATGAAACTGTCAAATTTCAATTTTAAGGTTAATTTACCATAAATTAACCTTAAAATTGACATTTGACATTTTAATAAAAAAAGGTTGTTTTGACATTCTAAAATGCTTTAAAAATATTAATACAACTCTTGTTATACAAAAACGGTTTTCTCTTTCAAGGAAATATTTTAAAAGCAATTATTAGCATATTAATCTTTTAATGTAATATTAATGATATCATTAGTACGTAAAATAGCATGTGGCATCACTTCTGGTAAAGGGGTCTTCAAATTGCTAACCATAACGTTTTCAAAATTAATATCGGTCGCCTTAATAACACAAGAAACTTCTGTTTTATCAAACATCCTAACTTTAGCAGTTTTTCCTGAAATGATATGTATAGGTATATAATATAAGTAACTCATACAAATTAAACGACTTACCACACATGGACGTTAAAAAGTACAAATATCTCTCCCTCAAAAAAGCATTCGCCTCGTTTATATCACTATTTTCGTGTTGATTCATTGAGATGAGCAAAATAAAACACAAAAGTAAGGTTATGTTTTTTATTTACAGTTTTACCAATTCACATGATGAAATTTTGGTAAAATATCCTACGACTAGTTCAACATTAAACATTACTTAATTACGAACATTATAATATCAATTATGTATTGTTTATATATTAAAGCCTAAATCCCTCATACACTTTTTATGAGCTTCGATTAAGTGTTGACAGTTTTCTTCCCCATTTTCGATGATGCTATAATTATAAGAAATAGTAAAAATTTAAAAAAATATATAAAATAAATACCAAGCATCCCTAACTTTTTTGGTTTCCGGGCAGGCACAACACGCCTTTAATTTTTTAGGTTCTTCATTTGACTTGGCTGTGGCTGTCGATGCAGCCTCCACATTTTGACTTATTTGATTGCCCATGACTTAAATCAAATAATTATTAAATTAAAACGAAATTTAGCACAAAATTCTAATAAATCACCTTGACAGTCCAAATATCACGTATATTTTGAGTGAACTGACGTTTCCAAGTAAATATAACCTCACTTTTATGTGTGGTTATGTAACTAAACAGGGTTGCCATTGTTGATAAAATGCCTTAATATATTCTCCTTTACATTTTATTAAATTTTAAGAGTTTTAAAACAATTACTTTTAATTATGGGGATAATTCTATGATTTTCGGTGTTATTTTTGAAACCAAATTGTTTCGTTCTTCAGTTGGCTGCCTGCTTGTCATGTTTATGGCGGTAAATTTAAACTTCACAACAGTTATTTTTGCTGCAATGTCGATTTTAAATGAGGTTCCAAGAACTCAGTGTTGTGTTTTTGAGCAACCCTTTAAAAAATTAAATATTTATGTCATTTTTGTAGCAATAAATTGTAATTTGCTCAATCATAATCGCTGATTTTACACTTTAAACTCGATCCAGAGTTGAATACGTTGCATAAATTAACCCGAGTTCACGAACGGAAGTGAAATGACTAGAAATTGTTAGTTGTCTATATTTTATTGTAACAACATGAGCGAAAATCAGGTCTGTACTTCTTATTTTCCTACTTATCTTATCTTATTTATCTTTAATAATTTATTTTTTTGCATTGTTTTTGTTATTTTGTTGCTGTAGAATCAACGACGTGTAAAAACCGAACAATCCAGAAAAGAAGGTCGTTTTTGCAGGATAATAATGGCCTTTTTCTACGCCTTTTTAAATTGTGTGAGATACTACATAGATTTATTAATTGATGCTGCTTTTGGTTACTACTATGACCCAACAAGACAATGCATACCAAAAGTGAAAAATAAAATAATATTAGACAGCGCTACAACGTTAGCAACAAAAATTAGAAAAGGGGAGTTAAAATCTGAGGAAGTTGTTGAAGCTTTCATCGATAGAATCAAAGAAGTGAATGGTATAATTAATGCCGTTGTTGATGATAGATTTGAGGAGGCTTTACAAGAGGCAAGAAAAATTGATAAGGACATTGAAACTGGTAACATAATCGATGCTGATTTTCAAGCAAAACCATTCTTAGGTAAATTTGAAAGACAAATTTAGCATTCTATTTTTATGGTTTTTATTGTTAAAGGGGTTCCTTTTACTGCCAAAGAGTCTACTTCAGTTAAAGGCATGTCAAACACAATGGGGCTGAAGATTCGCCAAGGAAAAAAAGCTAAATATGATGCAGATATAGTAGAAAATGTTAAAAAATCTGGGGCTATATGCATAGGTAATTTTAAGGATATTTTTTATGGGCAATATTTTTTAATGATTATTTTTAGGTGTGACAAATATACCCCAGATGAATTATTGGCAAGAAACGGGAAATCCCTTATTTGGTATCACAAAAAATCCTTATAATACAACCAGAAATGTTGGGGGGTCTTCTGGGGGAGAAGCCAGCAATTTGGCAGCTTGTGGGACAGCTATAAGTATTGGTAAGTACTTATATATTTTTTAATTTGTCAATTTTAGTTGTATTAAAATTAAGAGCAACTTTGGAAGTCTGTAGTGTTGTTATTTTTTACCCAAATTTCAAAATAATTACATCAAATGTTAGACAATTTCATCTACTTTAAAAAAATATACAAATCTTTATATGTCCCAGTACTAATTTTTCGAGATAATCCACAAAATATAAGGTAGTGTAAATTTTAGTTGTCTTAAAATTAAGAGCAACTTTGGAAGTCTGTAGTCTGGTTATTTTTTACTCAAATTTAAAAATTATTACAACAAATGTTAGATAATTTAATCCACTTTAAGAAAATGTACAAATCTTAATGTGTCAGTGCTAATTTTTCGAGATAATCCACAAAATATAATTATATTATATTAAGGTAGTGTAAATTTGAGTTGTCTTAAAATTAAGAGCAACTTTGGAAGTCTGCAGTTTGGTTATTTTTTACCCAAATTTAAAAATTATTACAACAAATGTTAGATAATTTAATCCACTTTAAGAAAATGTACAAATCTTAATGTGTCAGTGCTAATTTTTCGAGATAATCCACAAAATATAAGGTAGTGTAAATTTGAGTTGTCTTAAAATTAAGAGCAACTTTAGAAGTCTGCAGTTTGGTTATTTTTTACCCAAATTTAAAAATTATTACAACAAATGTTAGATAATTTAATCCACTTTAAGAAAATGTACAAATCTTAATATGTCCCAGTACTAACTTTTCGACATAATCCACAAAATATAGTTGTTAATTTTAGTTGTCTTAAAATTAAGAGCAACTTTAGAAGTCTGCAGTTTTGTTATAATATAATAATTACATCAAATGTTAGATAATTTCATCTACTTTAAGAAAATGTATAAATATTATTGCATGTAATTTTAGGCTCAGACATTGGTGGTTCTATAAGAATACCATCATTTATGTGCGGTGTATTCGGGCACAAACCTACAACAGGTTTAATATCAACTAAAGGTAATTTGCATAAACAAAATTTTATGAAATTTCCACATAGATAACAACAATTTATTACAGGGTTGTCGTTTAGAGACGGCAAAGAAACCCAGACGATGGTAACTGCCGGCGTTATGAGCAGGCACGCCGAAGATTTGGCACCACTGCTCAAAGTTTTACTGGGTACCAACGCGGCAAAACTGAAATTGGACACCCCTGTAGATTTGAGTTCCCTCAGGGTGCTTTTCGTCGTTGACCCGCAAGATCCTTTTGTTAGCCCCTTTAGGCAGGAAATCAAAGATTCCATTTGGAAAATTGTCAGCTTTATGAGAGATGAGTGCAACGAACCGCCCACAGCCGTGAATTTCAAACAATTCAGATACACCACGAAGCTGTGGAGATTCTGGATGGGTCGGGAAGAGACCGACTTCAAAAGCGACCTAACGGACCAAAACGGAAAAATCGCCGTTATACCCGCCATATTGAAGCACTTCCTGTTTATGAGCAGCGATTACAGCACCGGCACCGTCTACAATTTAATAAGCGATTTGTTCCCAAAAGTGGACGAAACCTGGGCCAAAGAAGAGACCGAGGACTTGAAGAAAGCCTTAACTGTACGTATATTTATTTTAAACAAGGTATTTTATTCAGTAGAACGAATTTTGGTTCACTTTGCGCATCACCCAGCTGTCGCCATCTTAGTTTATTCCCGCCTGAATTTAAATATTATTCTCAAATTATTCGATTTTTTGATTAAATTGTCGAATAATTTGAAGATCACACGTAAATCACAATCAAATAAAATATGTTGTTTTAAAGTAAATAATATTTGGGTGAATATTTTAAAATTGTCGATTTTCGGAACCATTTTCGTTTTACCTAAAATTTTCTTTAAAAAAATAAACAAAAGCTCAATAAATACATGTTTTATGCCCTAACCTCTAATGCCCTTCTGAATTTATTTACTCGTCCAGCTATTAGCTTAAGCAATGATTAGAAAATTTAGTACCTATTTTAAAAACTCCATAACCACAAAATTAATTTTTTCATCGGTTTTTTTCTTTCTGTTTACTCAGATGGAAGTCACAAGTTAAACTTCAATTTGTGTCAATAAATCCAAAAGCACTTCCCTAAGGGAAGTTCCCTTAGTTAAGATATTTACAATTTGAGCACATAACCTAAAATTTGAAAGAAATGCACTAGATTCTGTCAAAAAAGTTGCCAGATTTTGTTTGAATTTGCCTTCATTGCAAAAATGACATAAGTAATCAACAATTAATAAAAACGCCAAATTAACAATTTGCATTGTTGATTTTGTCATTTTTGTGATTAAGCTAAATTTAAATAAAATCTGGCAACTTTTTTGACAGAATCTGGAAACGCTTGGTAGGTTAAAGATTATTATAAACCTTTAAAATAGCTTAAAAAGCAACACGCATCAAAATGTAAATACATAATCAATATGGCGGCGACTGGGTGCTCCCACCTTTTCGCAAATCTGATGGAGTGGTGGAAACAGATGCACAAGAACATACGTACTTTAAACGTATACTGATTTTATTTAAATTGTTTTATTCAAGGACAAACTCGGCGATAAGGGGGTGCTAATCTTTCCTTCGGCCCCTTTCACGGCCAGCTATCACCACACAGCTCTTCTGCGTCCCTACAATTTCAATTTGTTCTCTATTTTCAACGTGCTCAAGTTCCCTGTGACCCAGGTACCATTGGGACTCGACAGTCAAGGTTTACCTCTGGGAGTGCAGGTGGTTTCCGCTCCACACAACGACCATTTAACCATCGCGGTGGCAAAAGCCTTGGAGAAGCAGTTTGGAGGGTACGTTCCCCCATTTAGTGCCTCTTGAATTGGTTCGAGTTTTTTCATTGGGTTTTGTGCGACTGGTTTATATTTTTATACTACTTTATACTATTCTCTGGTGATATTGAAACAGTATACAAGGTGTTTGTTGGCATTTTTAGGGGCCACCGGATATAAGGCTAATAATTTATTTTGATGTTGTTAAATAAAAAAATTACCCATTTTAAATGTAACTTTATTTATTCATCTTAAACATTAACATTCGATAAGATTTATATTTAATTAAACTAACCACATGCGTTTTGATTACATCCAACTAAAAGATTCTACAGAAATATATATTCACATGTATATAAAAATGTATATTATTCCCCAACTAAAGTTGACTATTGAAAAATATAAAGGGAATATTTAAAACTATCTGATATATTTTTATATCTACTAATAGAGTTTATATGTATTTTATAATAATTGTGGACCTTTTCCAACCCTGATTCATATAATGTAGACAAATTATTATAACAGTGGACTAACTCTTGATAAAACCCGATTTATTTTTACAATCCAGAAAAAAAACAGGTGTCAGTTTATAAAATGTGGAAAGTCAAGGTTTAAAAGATACAGTGTTTCGCAAAACAACACAGCCCATTATTATATCTTTGGCTAATCATCACTTTGTTAAACAATCATTTGTACTATAATATAAAATCATCCAAAAACGTTTCCCTATAATTCGATATCGATATCTGTCGTGGCGTTGAGAAATTTTGAACAGAACATTGTGGACACGTCAGCTACGTTTTGAATACTGGTCATTCCTCTATTGGCGACTCGATAGAGGGATGAGAAGTACTCAAGAGTGCGACGTTTCCAGATTTCGGATTCAGTAGGTCCACTGTGCGCGATCCCCTCGATGCAACGGTTTGGTGACGGTGCTCTCGCACTTTCTAAGGTACTTAAAACGAAAAAGAAACCATGCAGGCACTCCTAAAGTGGTTGGACATTATCACTATGCGCTACCTGCTTTAAGAGTCGCTTTTTTAAGTTTCACGATATTTTGTCGCGCCACCGGGAGAATAAAACCAGCGGCGACTCGAAGTCGGTGAACGTGAAAACCGGCGCGAATAGAGCGAAGAAAATGAAGAGGAAGGAGAGGGGGGAGAAGGTGGCGAGGAAGTTTCTCGAGTCGGGACAAGTTCCGTGCAGCTTTAAGCACGCCGTGAGCATGTCGCAGTGCGCGTACAGCTGCATCAAGAGCAGCTTGGGCAGATCGTGTCGCTTGCCGTCGAAAAGATGCGAAACGCTGCGAACGAAGCTCGAGTCGTAGAAGATGAAGTACAAGGGGGGGATGGTGGGTAAAGGGCAGGAGTCGAGGATCAACGAGAGGAGGGGGTTAGCTGCGCATGAGCACAGCTGCAGTGGACACCCTCAGCTCGGGAATTTGGAGTAGAACGCGTAAAGCAAATCGTAGTTTTTAAAGTTGCACTGCTGAATGTCGCGTCTCAGCCACTCGCCGATGGCGTTCATGTGGATCAGCTCTTTTGTGGTGCTCTTCACCGGCGACGTCTGAAATTAGTAATATAATATAAACTCTGTTCTCATGCCCCAACATTCCAAGATTGTGCATGCAGCAACATTCTTTAGATAGTGTAAAAAACAACAAATATTTTTGCAGAGTTGCACTTTTTATAAAATAATAAAATTTAATGAATACTTATGATCAATTCATTGATTTTATTTGTTTTTAATATAATAATTATTATTAGTATTAACAATAAATATATAATAAGAAAATATAAAATTATTTGTCTCATGCCTCACAATAATTTTAATGAAGTTGTGGAGATACTCCTGAAAATATTTTTTTTATTATTTTCAAAATTTGAAAATTTTTAAACTTCTAAAACTAAAAATTTCTGAAATATCAAAAAAACTTTCAAAACCAAAAAAAAATCCAAATTTTCAATAAATACAGCAATGTTATAAAATGCATGACAATTGGCAAACCTACCCTTTTAGTAAAAATTTGAAAATTTTTGAAAGGTAGGTACTTCTTGGCCGAATGGCATACAACATTTTATCTTCAAAGCACTTTATATAGGTAAATTTAATTCAACATCAAAGCTGCCTAACCTCACTTTTTTAGAATCTTATTTATTTATTAGCTAAAGATAACATTAAATGTACAATAATTATTATTGCTTTTAAAAGCAGTAAGTTTGACAATACCTAGCAACATGATTTAAGTAGAAATGGATTTTTGCTATTACATTGAATTCAATTAATTATTTAATAAATAGGTAGGTAGGTAGTTTGGAATGTTTAGGCTGTGTTTAAAATTTAATTTCAAAGAAAACTTAAAGCAAATTAAAACTTCAAGATAATTTAAATCGTGGAAAAAGAATCGTGTGTTTTCTTGGTTGCCTAACCTCACTTTTTGTTTTATTATTCATATTTAATTTTACAATAATTTAATGTAAAATATTAAACATTAACAGTAAAACAAACAAATTAGTGCTTATTATAAATAAATTAAACCAGTTTAGTACCTACGTTAATTTCTTAAAAAAGGATTAATTTGTCAAAACAATACCCCTAGCGAGAAAAAATCGAACTAATTACTTGCCTCATAAAAATTTTTATCGGCCTAGGCCATAACAAGGTGTTTCTTAATCGAATGTTGATAACAATAAAGTTTAAATTATTAGACCGCGTGGAGATAAAAATGTTTACTTAAATTTTTTTTAAATTACCTATAAAATTTTCAAAACCAACCAATAAATACCTACAGCAAAATTTGAAAATTTTCAAAAATTCCTAAATTTCAAAAATAATTTTTTAATTTTTTTTTTAATTACAAAATTTTCAAAACCAACAAAAAAATCCAAATTTTCAATAAATACAGCAACGTTATAAAATGCAGTATACCTGGCAACCCTGCCTTATGGTAAGGTGCAAATAAAAAAAATCCAAACAATTTGAAAATTTCAAAAATTTCTAAAAATGTTTAATTTTTAATTTTTATTTTAAATTTACAAAAAAATTTCAATTTTTTTTTTTTAATTTACAATATTTTCAAACCCAACAAAAAAAATTGAAATTTGCAAAATGGTAAGGTGCAAATTAAATAAAATCCAAAATCCTTCCTGATTAAAATTTGAAAAATTTCAAGATTTGAAATTTTTTAAAAATTCAAAATTCCTAAAATTTCCACTTTTTTTAAATTCACAAAAAAATTTCATTTTTTTAATTTACAATAAATACTACAGCAACGTTATAAAATGCAGGAAACGTGGCAACCCTGCATTATGATAAGGTGAAAATTTAAAAAAAATCCAAATCCTACCTGAACGGCGGAAAATTGTAAATTTTGACATAGTTATCTTTTTATATCGATATTTCATAAAAATTAACAAGTAAATTATCATATCATAGTATTTAATTAAGATCTTTAGCAGAAGTACCATTTTTTAAATACTAAAAATACTAAATCAAACTGCCATAAGCTACCTACCAAATTAAGAAAAAAAATTAACTATATCCTACCTGATTAGCGAAGATGGTGACTGTAAACTTTCCCGGAAGAAAAGTGTCGATCACCTTGTCAATAATGTCCCTGTAAGAACTAGATGGAACATTTGTTTCAAAACTAACATAGGAAAATTCATTTTCTGGGGTTATATGAATTGTCATGTAGCAGCCCTATAAGGAAAATGTTATTAGAAACCTATTCGAGTTTTAAAATGTCTGATGCGATCTGTGAAAAATGATGTCGAGTGCACAAAAATAAATAAATAATACATGATTTTTCGCTTTGTATATTTACTTACATTTGATATTTCTGTATTTATCTGGTAAGACATGAAATAAAGGTACAGTAGGTTTTATTTAAGGGTTTGATAAATAAATAACAGTAGGCCGCGAACGCAAATTCAGCGGTGCCAATGTGACAAAAATAAAACGTTGTATTTTAATAGAGTAATTGCATCAAAAATGAAAATCTCTAAAAACCTTTTTATTGTAATCTAGAGGTAAAAACACATTGCGAAAATATTTTTTTATATTCCAAAAGTTCAACCCGGCCCCAAAATATCAAATTGAAAAAAAGGTACTTTTCAAACGTTCCGAACTCCCGCCATATTGCATGACGTCATAAGCTTCACCAGCTGTCAGAAATCAAGATGTCAACAAATAATAAACACCGATAAGTTTATGTTTATACATGGAAAACGCGAAACCAAAAATTGGTTGTAAATATTGTTTTGTGCCTTGTTGTACAAATACAACCTGGAAAACTCCTGGGAAAGTTGTCCCTTCAATTATCAAAAGCAAAGTTTATGACCCTACACTGAGAGTAGTTATGGCTCAGCCGTATTTTCTTGAATTTATTAATATTTAACATAAGTACCTATTCAAACCATATACCTAGTAAACGACATTTTATTTTACTTACATTAAAATGATCCTTAAAATGAGCAATAAAATGGTGACGATGTTTTGATATCGCGCCGAGCTATTTTAATCCACTTTATCCTTATTTTCCCTTTTGGCACGGTGATAAACCTTTTCCCAGGAGTTTTCCAGGTTGTATTTGTACAAGGCACAAAACAATATTTACAACCAATTTTTGGTTTCACGTTTTCCATGTATAAACATAAACTTATCGGTGTTTATTATTTGTTGACATCTTGATTTCTGACAGCTGGTGAAGCTTATGACGTCATGCAATATGGCGGGAGTTCGGAACGTTTGAAAAGTACCTTTTTTTCAATTTGATATTTTGGGGCCGGGTTGAACTTTTGGAATATAAAAAAATATTTTCGCAATGTGTTTTTACCTCTAGATTACAATAAAAAGGTTTTTAGGGATTTTCATTTTTGATGCAATTACTCTATTGACAAACTAATACCTTACAACAAATTAAAGTATCATAAAACCAACAAAAAAATAAAATAGGTGAAATTATATATGGTTAATTTGTTGTTATAATGGCCAAAATAAGGTTTATAACGGTCATACGTTGGCAGCACGGAATTTGAAATGACAGTTTTATCGTTAAGCGAAGTCGATGGTTATCGTTTCCAAACTAAGTAACAAAATAAATTTTTTATGGAATGTGCTACAATAAATTTTGAAAACATTCTATGGAAACTTAAATGTAGATATTGGATATTGAAAATTCGCATTCATTGAAATTTTCTGTATGCCAGGTAATAAAAAT